TATCGGGTCACCAAGGTACAACAGCGGGCACCGGGTCATCAGACATTGGATTGTCTTCCTCGACCGCAGGCACCAGGTCATCTGGCTCAACAGCTTGCATCGGGTCACCAGGCACGACAGCAGGCATCGGGTCACCAGGCAGGGCGTCAGGCACCGGGCCCCCAGGTGGAGCGGCGGGCACCGGGCCCCCAGATGGAGCGGCGGGCATCGGGCCATCTGGCTCGACAGCGGGTATCGGGTCACCAGGTACAACAGCGGGCACGGGTCATCAGGCATTGGATCGTCTGGCAAGACTGCGGGCTCCGAGTCATCTGGCAAGACCGCGGGCTCCGAGTCACCAGGCACAACAGCGGGCTCCGAGTCAACTGGCGGAACAGCGGGCATCGAGTCGTCTGGCAAGACTGCGGGCACTGAGTCGTCTGGCAAGACTGCGGGCACCAAGTCGTCTGGCAAAACCGCGGGCTCCGAGTCATCTGGCAAGACCGCGGGCTCCGAGTCAACTGGTGGAACAGCAGGCATCGAGTCGTCTGGCAAGACTGCGGGCACCGAGTCGTCTGGCAAGACTGCGGGCACCGAGTCGTCTGGCAAGACTGCGGGCACCGAGTCATCTGGCAAGACTGCGGGCACCGAGTCGTCTGGCAAGACTGCGGGCACTGAGTCGTCTGGCAAGACTGCGGGCACTGAGTCATCTGGCAAGACTGCGGGCACCGAGTCGTCTGGTGGAACAGCGGGCACCGAGTCATCTGGCAAAACAGCGGGCATTGGGTCTTTAAGCTCGACAGCAGGCACTGAGTCATCGGGCAAGACCGCGGGCTCCAAGTCATCTGGCAAGACCACGGGCCCCGAGTCACCAGGCACAACAGCGGGCTCTGAGTCAACCGGCCCGACAGCGGGCTCCGAGTCAACTGGCGGAACAGCGGGCATCGAGTCGTCTGGCAAGACTGTGGGCACCCAGTCGTCTGGCAGACCGCGGGCTCCGAGTCAACTGGCAAGACAGCGGGCACCGAGTCGTCTGGCAAGACTGCGGGCACCGAGTCGTCTGGCAAGACTGCGGGCACCGAATCGTCTGGCAAGACTGCGGGCTCTGAGTCAACTGGCAAGACAGCGGGCACCGAGTCATCTGGCGGAACAGGGGCATCGAGTCGTCTGGCATAATAGGATCATCAGGCTGGATCAGTTCATCAGGCTGGGTAGAGACATTATGCTGGGTAAGGACATCAGGCTGGGTAAAGATATCAGGCTGGGTAGAGACATCAGTCTGAATTGTGGGCGCCGAGGCACCAGGCTGCACCACGGAAGGTGGGTTCTCAGATGGCAGGCTGACCGGTTTGGATACTGGAAGGATGGTATTGGTTGGAAAGAATTTTCGCCTTTTCCTGGTTTTAGTTACCGGAGCACTGTAAGTAAGAGCAGGTTTGTAAACGGATGGAGCAGCTGAAGACAGAGAAGAGCTGGAGGATGGAACAGAGGAAGGAGCAGTTGCTACAGAGGACTTCTTTACAGGGTTAAAGAAAGGATAGGTGCAGCGAGTGGGAGCAGAGGACTGATATGTGGTAGTTAGCAGAGTATACTGGGCCGTCACTGGGGGTGCTGTCGGGGATGCAGGAAGAGTGCCTTGAGCGGAGGAATGACGTTGTAAGCTGACTGAGGCTGGGTGCAACAAGTCTGACCATGTCTTCAGTATGGGTTGAACAAAGCTCAGCTTACACAAAGCCTGTCTGGTCAAAGACTGCACTACGTTTATACAATCCCTTAATACCTGTGGTGAACATGCAGCATAATGCTCCAAAAAACTCTAGGAATGCTCCCAGGGACTCTACCTGGTCTGCACTAAATGGTGGCAAAAAGTCATTCCTGCTTTCAGGGGTACCAGATGAAGCCAACTCTACACAAACCTGAATCAAAGGTTGCACCTCAGAGAACTCTGTGCCCTGATCTACTAGAACATGAGCGATCCGTATACATTCTAGCAGTTGATCCCCGGGTATACTCCCTCAGAGTCTGATAAGCATATTCTCTGTCATCAAAAACCAGCAGCGACAAATACACAACCTCATCAAGATCCATCCTTCCCAGCAACAAGCCAAGATGGCTTCCCTGTGCAGCCACTTCTGGTCAGGATGGCCTTGGTGTAATGTCAGGGATGCGGGTGTGACCAGAAGTGTGTGGACTGACACAGGGAAACGCAAGCTTCAGATATGGTATAAATAAGACAATTTATTAAGACTAACAATACAAACATAAACGCAGTGCACCAAACCCCAAGCTAACACAAATACATAAAACAAGGTGAAACAAACCCAAACCTAAACTGATAAAGATACACAGGTACATACACATATAGAGCACAACGTAATCAGGCAGGCCGGGTCGATAACTATCGGGCAGGTAGGTACAGGAGGAGCAGGCAGAGAGAATGGTCAGGGTCACAAGCCAGGGATCAAACAGAAGTCAGCAGAGGTCAGGATCAGGCAGGGTCGGCAACAAGTCAGGCAGGAACAGGAACGCAGGTTACAAGGTACAGGGGCCCATGGAAAAACACACACCAAATGTCAGGGCTCCAGGGTGTGACCAGAGGTATGTGACTGACGCAGGGAAACGCAGGCTTCAGATAAGTTATAAGCAATATAATTTATTAACACTAACAATACAAACATAAACGCAGTGCAATACTAAAACATAACACAGTGCAAACAAACCAAACCAAACCACCCACAGATAACATATATACAATGCAAGCGTCGTCAGGCAGGCCGGGTCAATAACAATCGGGCAGGTAGGTACAGGGGGTCAGGCAGAGAATGGTCGGGGTCACAAGCCAGGGATGAAACAGGAGAAGTCAGCAGAGGTCCGGAATCAGGCAGGGTCAGCAACGAATCAGACAGAGACAGGAACAGGAACAGGAATGCAGGAACAAGATACAGGGCCCAGGAAAAACACACACACCAAGGCAAAAACTGCAGGTCTGGCCATTACTTAAATGCACCTGCATAAGCAGTTTCAGGTGTTAGGCTGGCTGCAGGGTTGAGTCTCTGATTGCCGGGAGCACCCGCTGGCCAGCCTTGGTACTGCAGCCCACAAGGCAGGTGGGTCCCACCATTACTGGAAAGTCCATTCCTGACAGTACCCCCCCCCCCTCAAGGAGCGGCCTCAGGACGCTCCAAACAGTCCTAGCTGGGCAAAATGTTCCACTGCCCGGGTCTGGTAACTGGCGGGATATCAAAGACTGGCACACATCGGGCAGGACTCCGGGCAGCGGCACATCGGGCTGGACTCCGGGCAGCGGCACACCGGGCAGGACTCCGGGCAGCGGCACACCGGGCAGAGGCACATCGAGCTGGACCCCGGGCAGCGGCACATCGGGCAGGACTCCGGGCAGCGGCACATCGGGCTGGACTCCGGGCAAGGGCACATCGGGCAGGACTCCGGGCAGAGGCACATCGGGCAGGACTCCGGGCAGCGGCACACCGGGCAGGACTCCGGGCAGCGGCACATCGGGCAGGACTCCGGGCAGCGGCACACCGGGCAGAGGCACATCGGGCCGGACTCCGGGCAGAGGCACATCGGGCAGGACTCCGGGCAGAGGCACATCGGGCAGGACTCCGGGCAGAGGCACATCGGGCAGGACTCCGGGCAGAGGCACATCGGGCAGGACTCCGGGCAGAGGCACATCGGGCAGGACATCCGGGCAGAGGACATCGGGCAGGACTCCGGGCAGAGGCACATCGGGCAGGACTCCGGGCAGCGGCACATCGGGCAGGACTCCGGGCAGCGGCACATCGGGCAGGACTCCGGGCAGCGGCACATCGGGCAGGATTCCGGGCAGCGGCCCATCGGGCAGGACTCCGGGCAGGACTCCGGGCAGAGGCACATCGAGCTGGACTCGGGCAGGACTCCTGGCAGAGGCACATCGAGCTGGACACCGGATCACCAGGCGGAGCAGCAGGCACCGGGCCACCAGGTGGAGCAGCGGGCGCCGGGCCCCCAGGTGGGGCGACGGGCATCGGGCCCCCAGGGGGGGCGACAGGCATCGAGCTCCCAGGCGGGGCGACAGGCATCAGGCCCCCAGGCGGGGCGCCGGGCCCCCAGGCGGAGCGGCGGGCGCCGGGCCCCCAGGCGGGAGTGCCAGGCGCCGGGCCCTTAGGCGGAGCGGCGGGTGCCGGGCCCCCAGGCAGAGCGGCGGGCGCCGGGCCCCCAGGCGGAGCGGCGGGCATCGGGCCCCCAGGCGGGGTGACAGGCATCGGGCCCCCAGGCGGAGCGGCGGGCATCGCGCCCCCAAGCAGAGCGGCGGGCGCCGGGCCCCCAGGCGGAGCGGCGGGCATCGGGCCCCCAGGCGGGGGTGACAGGCATCGGGCCCCCAGGCGGAGCGGCGGGCATCGGGCCCCCAAGCAGAGCGGCGGGCACCGGGCCCCCAGGAGGGACGGCAGGCACCGGGTCATCAGGCACGACAATGGGCATCGGGTCACCAGGCATCAGGTCATTTGGCTCGCCAGTGGGCACCGCGTCATCTGGCAAGGCAGTGGGCACCGAGTCACCAGGCATGACAGTGGGCTCCGAGTCAACAACTCTGGCTCGAAAGCGGGCATGTCACCAGGCATGACAACGGGCACTGGGTCATCAGGCATGGATTGTCTGGCTCGACAGCAGGCATCGGGTCACCAGGTATGACAGCGGGCACTGGGTCATCAGGCATGGGTTTTGGCTCGCAGCAGCGGGGCACCAGGTCATTGGCAAGCGGGCACGAGTCACCAGGCATCAGGTCATTTGGCTCGCCAGTGGGCACCGCGTCATCTGGCAAGGCAGTGGGCACCGAGTCACCAGGCACAGTAGGCTCCGGTCATTTGGCATGCCGTGGGCACTGCGGTCAGACATTGGATTGTCTGGCCTCGACAGTGGGCGGGTCATCAGGCATGGGATTGTCTGGCTCGACGGCGGGCATCGGTTCACCAGGTATGACAGCGGGCACTGGGTCACCAGGCATCAGGTCATTTGGCTCGCCAGCGGGCACCGCGTCATCTGGCAAGGCAGTGGGCACCGAGTCAACAGGCACGATAGTGGGCTCCGAGTCAACTGGCATGACCGCGGGCACTGGGTCAGACATTGGATCGTCTGGCCCGACAGCGGGCATCGGGTCACCAGGCATCAGGTCATTTGGCTCGACAGCGGGCACCGCGTCATCTGGCAAGGCAGTGGGCACCGAGTCACCAGGCACAACAGTGGACTCTGAGTCAATTGGCACGACAGCGGGCACCGGGTCATCTGGCGCTGAATCGTCTGGCTCGACAGCGGGCATCGGGTCACCAGGCATGACAGCAGGCACTGGGTCATCAGGTACCGGATCGTCTGGATCGACAGCGGGTACTGGGTCATCAGGCGTGATAGGATCATCAGGCTGGATCAGTTCATCAGGCTGGATCAGTTCATCAGGCTGGGGTTCATCAGGCTGGATCAGTTCATCAGGCTGGGTCCAGACATCAGGCTGGGTCAGTTCATCAGGCTGGGTCCAGACATCAGGCTGGGTCCAGACATCAGGCTGGGTACAGACATCAGGCTGGATCAGTTCATCAGGCTGGGTACAGACATCAGGCTGGGTAGAGACATCAGGCTCAAGTGCGGGTGCCGAGGCACCAGGCTGAACCACGGAAGGCAGGTTCTCAGACGGCAGGCTCACCGGTTTGGATACTGGCAGGATGGTACTGGTTGGAAAGAATTTGGGGTCCTATGGGGTCCTTAACTGTTTCATGCCGCCCTATAGCAGAAATACTGCTACAAGGCGGTATGGGTGCACAAAATCATGTATGTATACGTGATTCGCACTCCCATGGTTTTTGGGGGCCAAGAGTACGCGCGCATGTCCCCGCCAACCCGCGGGTGTCGTGAGATTTAGGCCAGTGATGGTCAGCCTAAATCAGATGATCGATCCCTGTCCTATCAGGGATATTCCTGTACCTGTGTTTATAGTTACACAGGTAAAGGAAGTGATGAAATCTTCTCCCTCTGTGCACATTCCATCAGCACACCAGTAATCACAACCCCTTGATTGCCAGGAACACGGTCATATACACAATAAACCTCCATTGCTAGTATAGTGTCTGCACGGATCAATATCTTTGATCAGATCAGTACTATACCAGCGTTCACATTAGTATAGTGTTCCCAAAAATGCAGCGTTAGCAGGAACAGCCTTGCCACCTGCCAGCACCTGCATTTAGCCCCTACGCTTACCCCCTCTTCTCCCCCAGCAAGTGCAGTGTCAGTAGATCACTGTTACTTGATACATTACACACAAAATTGCAGTGATCGCAAAATCACGCCTGATCTCTGTTAGCACTTGCTGGTAAATTTTGTTTGCAGAGGTTCAAGCAGTTCCTGACAGTTAGGTGCTCTTTTTTCCGTCAGTCGCACTAGCTACCTATAAATTTAGTGGCCAAAATGTCAATGGAAAGGTACACTAGAGAAGAGGCCTACAGTATTCTTAGCATGTCAGGTGAGAGTGAAAAAGAAGACTCAATGACACAATCAGCCTCAGAATATGAACCTGTAGACAGCAGCGGCACCCTGACAGATAGCTGGGACGATGGAGAAGAGGTCCCTGCTAAGGTCAGGTGTACCCGACCCCGTTCCCGTTACAAACGCATGATGATTCTCAAATGCAACAGAGTGCCAGTACTAGTGCCACTTTACTTTTTGGTGAACTGGCAAGCACCAGTGGCCTAGTACATCCTGGTCTTCTACATACCAGCACTGCAGTATCACTTCATGATGTGAGAGTCCCATAAGTGCAGTACAAGCTGGTGTGGTGGCGAGCACAGGTAGTGTCCCACAGCCACTAAAAATTTGCACACAGATCTGTAGAACCCCTAGTATCCTTCCGGATGTGCTTGCAAATCCCGAATGGAAGCTCACAAATTCTGCAGCAACCATACTTCCCCCATTCACTGCCCAACCTGTAATTCAGGTGGAAACTGCAAATTTAAATACTCCCCTTTATTTTTTTAAACTGTTTTTCACAGATGATCTGTATGCATTGATTGTGGATCAAAGCAATTTATATGCACAGCAGTTTATCGCCGCCAACCCAAATTCAAACCTTGTCAGACCATTCGCATGGAAACCCATTATGGTTTCTGATTTTAAATTTTTGGGGGGCCTAACCCTCAGCATGGGCATTGCTAAAAAAAAAATGAATTGCGGTTGTTTAGGTCCACAGACCCGATTCATCATATGCCCGTGTTCTCTGTTGCCATGGCCAGGCATAGATACAGTATGAGAGTATAATGTGTTTTTTATGTGAATTTTAATGACAACACACTCTGTGTCGGGGATCGCCGCGCCGCTGGGTTCGGCGCAGGAGCAATGTGCCGCCCTGTGCAGGAACGCGGGCGACGGGACCTGGCCAACCCCGGCAACCAAGTTCGCGCATGCACAGTAGAGATCGCGGCGCGCGCGCCTGGCACCAATGACAGCGCAGGGCGGGATATTTAAATGGCCCTGAGCTGTCATTCAGTGCCTTCTGGTCTCCTTGTATCCTGTGAACCTGTTGTAGTAAGTTATTGACCCGGATTGTGCCCTGACCTTGCTGTTTTCTCCTGTTCTTGACCCTTGCTTGCCTGACCTCTCTCCTGAATGCCCCCTATTGGATCTGACCTGCTGTTGCTGACCTGGCGTGTGACCCGACTATTCTTTGCCCGCTGCTCTGTACCGCACCGTCCCCATAGTTACCGACCCGGCTTGTATGACCTTGCACTTGCTCAGCCATCCATCCATCCCTCTCAGCGGGGTCTCCAGACCTCCTCATACCTGGCTCTCTCCCGTGGGAGCCCCTGGCGAATACCCCTACCACTGACGGGTGTCCTCAGTAGTCACGACCTGGTCCCAGGGTACTCCAAGTCCATCCCCACCATCAGGGGCTCTGGTGAACAAGTACTCTGGGGCTTAGACTCCGTACGCTGGGAACGGCCGATCAGTGGAGTGCTAGTGGTACCGCCGGGCGGTCCCTTACAGTACCAGAAGGCCATGACTGAGCCTAGAGGAGGGCCCTCCCCGCTAGAGGAAATTTGCAGGCACCTAGCTAATTTGACGCAGGCCGTAACGGCCCTGCAGGACAGATGTATGCAGCTGGAAAATCGCTTCCAGACTTGCTCTATCTCTGACCCAGCTCCACAGGCCCCGGTTTCTGCACCCCCGGCTCTGGTAGCTCAGGAACCAGTCTCAGAGGCTTCTGCCCCGCTCCCTATGGCGGAACCCCGAGTACCCTTACCGGAGCGCTTTCACGGGGACCGCACACGCTTCCGGTCATTCCGTGATTCCTGTCTCTTGTTCTTTGAGCTACAACCCCGTACCTTTCTGACTGAAAATGTGAAAGTAGGATTCATCATTTCACTATTGCAGGGTGAACCCCAGGATTGGGCCCACCGGTTAAGGGGAAACAATGATCCTCATCTGGGATCAGTCAATAGTTTTTTTGAAGCGATGGCCATCTTATATGATGACCCACAGCGGGCAGCCTCTGCCGAAGTGACCTTGTATGCGCTCCGACAGGGCCGGCGGACGGCAGAGGAATACGCCTCTGATTTCAGGCGGTGGATGGGGGACACATGCTGGAACGAGTTTGCTCTGCTGCACCAGTTCCGTATGGGGCTCTCCGATCCCTTGAAAGATGAGCTAGCCTGGGTGGAAGTTCCCGAGTCTCTAGAAGACCTTATTGCCATGAAAAATTAAAATTGACCGAAGACTGCGGGAACGCAGGCTCGAGAGGTCCGGCCAGGGTCACGGAAATGCCTGGGGTCCATTCCTAGGCCCCAGCCAATCAACCCGACAAAGCATCCAGAATCCACCACCAGGAGATGTTCCAGAACCTATGCAGCTAGACCTGGCGCGGCCTAAATTACCACCGGAGGAACGCCAGCACAGACGAGCCCAGAACCTCTGCCTCTACTGCGGTGAAGCTGGTCATATGGTGCGATCCTGCCCACAGAAAATGAGTAAGTGCACCCGTTCTTCTTCTTTATCTATTAGCAATACCTGTCCTTCGCAATACTTAGCAGTGCCCCTCTCCTTTCAGCTTCCAGAAAGGACCGTGGAGGTGACAGCCATAGTTGATTCGGGGGCTTGCAGCTGTTTCCTGGATTTAGGTTTTGCTCACCAGCAGGGCATTCCCCTCCAACACAGACAGAAGGGCTTCAACATCTTTTTGGCCGATGGGTCCCAGATAAAATCGGGGGTAGTTAATCAGGAAACTCCCCCCATTGCCACTACCATTGCCAACCAACACCAGGAATTCCTCCGCCTGGATGCTATTGCGTCACCTCTTTTCCCAGTCATTCTGGGGCTCCCATGGCTACGGGCCCACAACCCCCAAATTGACTGGGAAACCGGGTCAATCTCGTTCCCTTCTCCATACTGTCGGGAACATTGTCGCACTTCGGGCCCTGCAGGGCCCCAAGTTCTCCTATGCTCTGAAGGAGACTCTGATTTGAACAGGTTATTCCCGCAGCCTACCATGGGTTCCTGGATGTATTCAGTAAGCGGGGAGCTGATACTCTGCCCCCCCACCGCCCGTATGACTGTCCAATGACTGTCCAGGCTCTGAGATTCCTTTTGGGCAAATTTTTCCCCTATCTGAGCTTGAATTGGGGGCCCTAAAGGAATATATTGAGGACAGCCTCCAGAAGGGATTCATCTGCCCCTCCACTTCTCCAGCAGGAGCGGGAATCTTCTTCGTGGAGAAAAAAGACAAAACCCTGAGACCCTGTACCGATTATCGGGAGCTGAACAGGGTCACGATCAAAAATCGTTACCCGTTGCCATTGGTACCAGAACTATTTCAGAGCCTAAAGGCTGCGGTCATATTCACAAAACTTGATTTAAGGGGAGCCTATAACCTGGTACGCATAAGGGAGGGGGACGAGTGGAAAACAGCCTTCCGTACCCGGTTTGGCCACTTTGAATACCTGGTCATGCCATTTGGGCTGTGCAATGCACCAGCCACCTTCCAACATTTCGTGAACGACATCTTCAGGGATTTTTTGGATGTCTTCGTTATCGTCTACTTGGACGAGATACTAATTTTTTCACCCTCCCTGGAGGATCATAGGATGCATGTGGCTAAGGTATTGGGGCGGTTGCGGCAGCATGGGTTATATGCCAAGGCGGAGAAATGTTGCTTCGAGCAATCTAGCATCACGTTTCTAGGCCTGATTATCTCCACTGCGGGGGTCGCGATGGACCCCCAGAAGGTCTCTGCAATTTTAGATTGGCCTGAACCCACGGACAAAAAAGGTGTCCAACGGTTTATAAGGTTCGCAAACTTTTATCAGAAGTTCATCAAGAACTTCACGGGTCTGGTCTCCCCCATTACTCAACTAACCAAACTTGGAACCCGGTTCAAATGGACACCAGAGGCTCAAGAAGCCTTCGAAGCCCTGAAAAAGCTTTTTACCTTGGTACCCATTCTGGGCCATCTGGACGTGGCCCTGCCCTACATCTTGGAGGTAGATGCATCGGAGAATGCGGTAGGGTCCATCCTGTCTCAGCGGAAAGGCACCAAAGAATTACTCCATCCCGTAGCATTCTTCTCGAGGAAACTCACCTCAGCGGAGAAAAATTACGATATCGGTGATCGAGA